TGTTGAGAAAAAATGCTAGATTTTGTTGAAAAAAATGCTAGAAAGTGCTAGAAATTTTAAAAAAGTGCTAAAAAATTAAATGAACATAATTATTAATATGTAATAATGAAATATTCATCAGAGACCCCATTTATTCTTAAAGGCTACTCCTTGTCGATTTAGCCATGTCCTTCCAATTGAGGTCGCAATATTGAAAACAGAGCTTTGGAATTTTGCCCATATATTGCACTACTCCTAGGACACTTGGTATTGGAAATTAAATAAATCGGTTTTTTTTTGGTTACACCATACCCAATCAGTGTTGCCAATTTAGCACTTTTAGTGCTAGATTTAGCACTTTTTAAACTCGTTCAGAAACAAAAAAAGTGATCTAGCACCTAGCACTTTTTTTAGCATTTTTTTTTTCAGCAACTTTTTATAATGTTTGCTTCATCCCAACAAAATTTCCCGTTTTTCCATTTCATATTGACGCATTGAAATTCCCCTATGTTTCACGATTTTGATTTTCCAATGTTAAAAAAGGGACAGTAGATTTGTTTACCGGTAATCCCGAATGCCAAGTTATAATCACTTAAGAGTACCGAACAGGACCAAAATAGAAAAATTCCGGCAAACATATATTTTTAAACCCTTCACCACACTATGGTACAGGGTATTTTGTGCATATGTTTGTAACAGGCAGAAGGAAACGAGATAGACACACGGTTCCTTTTGAGAATATGCATCGAGAATATGCATCTAATATTTGTGCTAATCGCACAAATATTAGAAATTCGGTGCACCATTAATGCAAAATCGGGTGAATATATATGTACATTTGGGAGCTATATCAAAATCTGAACCGATTTTTCCGAAACATTTCAATCATCATTCTAGACTCAATTCTGTATCCTATTTACCTAAAATCGGCTATATCTAAATCTGAACCGATATTCATGAAATTTAACATAGATCTTTCTAGACTTAATTCAGTACCATATGTCAAATTTCAAGCAAATTGTAGGATATATAGGGACTTTGGTGCACCATTTACATAAAATCGGACGAAAATATACATGGGAGCTACATATATCGAAATCTGGACCGATTTTCTCGAAACTCACCACCCATCATTCTAGACTCAATTCAGTACACTATGCCAAATTTCGTGCAAAACTGAGTAGGGATTTTGGTGCACCATTTACATTAAATCGGACGAAAATATATATGGGAGCTATATCTAAATCTGAACCGATTTTCACGAAATTTAACACACGTCTTTCTAGGCTTAATTCATTACCCTATGTACAAATTTCGTGCAAATCGAAGGATATATGAGGACTTTAGTGCACTATTAACCTAAAATCGGACGAAAATATATATGGAAGCTATACCTACATCTGAACGTATTTCTCCAAATAAATGAGCTGTGCCAAATTTAATCCAATTCGAATCAAAAATGCGACTTGTACTTTAACATGGACAGACAGACGGACGGACATGCATAACTCGGCTTAAAAAGTGATTCGATGCATATTCTCAAAAGGAACCGTGTGTCTATCTCGTTTCCTTTTGCCTGTTACAAACATATGCACAATGACATAATACCCTGTACCATAGGGTATTTTTTTCTATTTTGGTCCTATTTTTTTCTATTTTGGTCCTGTTCGGTACTCTTAAGTGATTATAACTTGGCATTCGGGAAAAAAATTACTGAAAAATAAAAAAATGCTAAAAAACGTGCTAGATGCTAGATCACTTTTTTAGTGCTAAACGAGTTTAAAAAGTGCTAAATCTAGCACTAAAAGTGCTAAATTGGCAACACTGATTACAGACCTAACAAGATTCCGAAAATACGTGGAAGATAAAATGGATCGAAATGGTTCCACTGTTCTGTGTGTTTAGCGGAGCCAGATAACCGAATAGTTATGGCTTTTGTCCTATATAGTAGTTTGTAGACCTTCAGGAAGGCGTGTTCCTGCTTGTTTTGTATCCATGGGGGCATTTTGATTTTGGTTTGGAAAGATAGCTGTTTCTCATCTTTATGAAATAGTAATTCCATATGATTAACCTGGAGCTATTAATTCAAATCATAGTAGTTAAAGCTATGAAAACGAACAGAGACTATTCTGTGGATTATTATCACCGAACTAGCAATTTATAGTTTCTCCATGGCCAGCCTCGAATTATTTAGGTTTCAGGTTAGTGCAGGCCCCTCAGGGTGTATAGAAGAATTGTAACCAGGCATTAACTCTAAATGATTAAGTCCAAATACGTGATATATTGGCTGGTGTTTAAAGGATCCTGAGGTTACCCAGATACAATGAGCAGCTCTGAATTTGCTTGAGAAACAGAATGTTAATTATCTTCATACTAGCATTTCGAAGACAAGGGACATTTTCGGTGAAAAGGAATCGCCGACTGAGTTAGGGAAGGCGAACATAAAAATGCTCTAACAAAAAAACAAAAAAAAAAACAAAAGGAGATTCAAACAAATATAGTTCGTCTGGATGGCACTATTCCATATTCCACCCAAAGAAATCATCAATTCGGATAGGGCTACACATAAATATTGAACTTTATTGACATTTGTCAGCAAGTGGTTATTTTAACTTCTGAAATCAGGACGGCTCTCATACGTGAAAGTCTGACATAAAAATATATGGTTTACATAATCATCCAACTACACAAAAAATTGACAAAATTCTGAATAAATTTGACTGGACTAGAGCGGTTACAAATATTTTAAGGCCTGTGCATCATCGTTTCGCTAATGTGGCTGCTGAAAGTGAAATTATTGCGTAGACCTCGTCGTCGTCAAGAATTAGGATTGTTATAGCACGGCATATTATGACGCATTTTACCTTTAGATCTGATTTTACATTCATAATTTTCACAAAATGCACAAAATTTTCTTCAGCGATGAAGCACAATCGGTGAATATGTGAATAAACAAAATTGTCTTATTTGGGGTTCTGAGAATCCGTAAGGAAATGAATGGTGCGTGGTGTGATTGGACCTTACCTTTTCCGAAACGACGACACTTCAATTCGGAGCCGACTTTTATACCGACTTTTTATACTCTTCAAGTACAGTGTATTATGTCTTTGTGCATATGTTTGTAACGGGCAAAACAAATCCAAATATACCCATGGTTCCTTTTGAGAATATTCATAGAGTCCCTGAGTCTGAGTCGATTTATGCATGTCCGTCTGTCCATCCGTTCGTCCGTCCATGTATTTTTGTGAACCATGTCCGATTTGGATAAAATTTGGCACATGTCACTTATTTGTTCCAAGGACGAACCCTATTGAAATTGGAGAAAACGTCAGATTTTAATTTAACGGTGCACCAAATATTGGACCGATTGAGACAAAATTTTTCACAACGCACTGAAGTAGGTCTAGATTGAGGTATGCGAAGTTTTATTGGAATTGGTTCAGATTTAGATATAGATGCCATATATAGTTTCGTTCGATTTTATGTAATTGGAGCACCATACTACCAATATTTGTCCGACTGGGACAAAATTTTGCACAGCGTAGAAAAAAAAAAACTATAAAATGTACCGAATTTTCTATTTCTTCACTTCCATTTTAAACATCCTGTAACTCACAACTGGAATTTAACAATATTTTTGAAACAAATCAAACATTAAATAAACCAGTGAGTGGAGCAGTTTAGTCGGACGGGGCCGACCATACGATACCCTACACAGCTTCCATGAAAATCTAACTTTCTGTGGTTCTATATTCTGAGATTGTGCAATATTTCGCGATATTCGCACACTTTTGACTGGCTAGAGGTCAGCAAATGTTACCAATAATCAGTACAGCACCTCTAATTACTTGTCCAGATTCCCTTCACCGTGGGTTGTGTTGTGATGTTCGGCTTTCGACTCGAAAAGTACAAATAATTAACTTTTCGGTCCACTTCATCCGAAAAATATTTTCTGATCATCACCTAACATTTTAGGCGCTGTCCTTGACCCTAACTGGAACCTCATGGAACATTTCAAAGCGATCAAAGCGCTATATTTCCGCACTCCAGTGTGGTAATAGGTTACAAAATAATATATGAATACGTAAGCACCTGTAAATATTTAAGTGTAACTCCCGCATCCGAGTACCTACGACAATATAATTGGTATCAATTTAAAGGTCAACCACTCCTCTTGGATATGCTATCAACTTCTCGGGTCTATGTCATTCAATGGTAAATATAGGGTCCATTGACCCGCTAAATATTGACCGATCTTTATCAAAACAGGCATGCTTATTCTTTGGCCCGATCCCCTTCTCCAGGCAAAAATTCGCGGTGTTTGGGCCATAATTGCGGCCTCTCTAGCGACCAGAAAAACCGACAAAAATAAAGTTTTTGGTCCATTTCATCCCCTAAATATTCACGGATCTTTTCCAAAAGCAATAGGGGTCTTCATTGGCCAGAACCCATCCTACATGCAAAATCTCGTGAAGATTGGTCCATAACTGTGGCCTGTATCGTGTTTACAAATTATAATGGACAGACGGACGGACGGACACACATGTCTAGATCGACTCAGTTAGTCGAGATATGACGATCGGTATATTCGCGGCGTTACAATACTTTAGAGCTGCACAAAGCTATAATACCCTGACAACATAGTTGTGTAGGGTATAATCAATATAAGAAAACAAATGGACTTAAATCGCTTTTAAAATAAACAATTCCTATAGCTGTTAATTGCAGTGGTCTAATTACCCACTAAACAAATAACATTACCTCTAATTTTGCTCTAACGCAGATTTCGACACATATAAGACCTATTGACAAAGCCCTACCATTATTATAATTATAATGAGCAGCACTTACTACTATTTTTATTACATAATTAAATATAAGCTTAACAAGTTTGTTTTTTTTTTTTAATTCCATAAATTAAACTTCCTCAAATAAATTAATAGCAGCATAAACACAAATTATAACAAAAAAATACATGGTTAAGATAATGCAAACAACCTGGAAAGATGTCGACCGGGAACAGCATAATCATAGCCTGGTCTTCGGGGCCTAAACGAAAATGGTTTGATTATGGGCGCCTTAAACAGTGGTGTTGTTGTGGGCATAACGTTCAACGGTTTGCTACCGAGGGATGAAACGGCTGAGGGTACAATTGGTGCTTTGACGTCCAGTGTATAGGAGGTTGAAAGTGAAGGTATCACTTCGACAATAACACGAGATGATGTTTTAGGCTCAGTTGGTGCCAAAATTGGCTGTTGGGGTGTGAGAGCTGCCAAAGCCGTTTGTGTCTTCAAATCATTGGCCATATCCAGCGGTGCTAACGGTAAAACAGAGGTACGTGGCGGTGCATCATATAAGAAACCGTTATCCGTCGAAATTAATTCCGAAGCATCCGCTACACTGTATTGGGCCAGCAGCAAAAACAGCGAGCAGATGATGAACTGCAAAAATTTAAACAATGTATGAATGAAAATAACGAAAAAATAAAACCACAAAAAAATCGAGTGAATGAATTTAAACAACAGCAAGGCAATAAAAATAAAATCAACTCAATTTGAGTGGTTTTCGGTTTACTGCCTGTCACTCATCTTCCATTTGGAGGGGTAAATTAATTAATTGTTAAATTTGCATAGATGATTTTGTTTATAAATGAAACGTAAAAAGAAGAAAAAACTGACCATTTCGTGTTGTTTTCTTTCAACTTGACTTTTAGAATGAATTATGGTTTTTTGCTTTTTTTCAAAATATTAACTGAATATTTTTTAAACGATGCGTAACGTATTTATATGAATTTAAAATTCATTTATCTCTTAGTTGTGCCTCTCGGATTGCCAAATATTTAAATGCTAAATAACTTAAAAACATATTTAGTTTTTCAAGAAGATGAGAAGGCCTATAACAAATGGAATGGAAGGAAAATAGACGAAACTAAAAGCGAAATTAAAAATGTGTGTGTTTAAAAAAGTCAAGGTTTCAAAACATTTTCGAGTCACATATCATTAGAAAGATTAGTGTGTACGAGACGAAACAATGCACAGTGTTTTCATAAGAAAACAATTATTTTAAGAATATTTAACAAAACAAAATATTTAAAGAATATTTTTCAAGTAACCCTTGAACCCTTATTTTATAAAAATCATTTTTAAGAAGGTTCTATAGATTTTTAGGGAACTTCCCTAATTTTCTAGCATGGATTTTAAACGAATGATTTCTTTAAGAGACCTACATGAATGAATTAAAAACCAGTAAGGAAAGTAGTAAAGTCGGACGGGGCCGACTATATGATACCCTTCACCACTATGGGTATATTAAACAGGACTATTAACATGAAATTGGATGAAATAAAATATGTGATATTTATCTAAATGTGAATCTACCTAGATCTATCCATAAAGTATGTAAATCTACTTCAAACAAATATAAATAGGTCATCCGTTGGGCTATGTATGTACTTCTAGAAAATGCAACTACGTAATTCTATACTCAATTTTGTAAGTTGTGCAAAATCTTATGTCAATCTGACTAACATGAGGAGTTTGATGCCCAATTTACTTGAAATCGGGCGAAAATATATATGGAAGCTCTATCCAAATATTAAGCGATTTCAAACAAACTTCTCACATGTTAGGTTATACTAATTTCAGAACATTTTGTTCCTATCAGCCTATTGGTTCTTTGGTGCGTCAATTACTTAAAATCAATCTATAATAAAAGGGAGCTATATCTAAATCTGGATCGATTTTCACGAAACAATGCAGACAGTACTCTAGGCTCAATTCATTACGTTATGCCAAATTTCGTGCAAATCGAAGGATATATAGGGACTTTGGTGCACCATTTACATGAAATCGGACGAAACTATATATGGGAGCTATATCTACATCTGAACCGATTTTCTCGAAACTTGGCAGAAATCATTCTAGGCTTAATTCATGTCAAATTTTGTGCAAATCTAAATAAATATAGGGATTTTGGGGCACCATTTACATGAAATCGGACGAAACTATATATGGGAGCTATATCTAAATCTGGACCGATTTTCTCGAAACTTGGCAGACATCACTCTTGGCTCAATTCAGTACGTTATGCTAAATTTCGTTCAAATCGAAGGATATATAGGAACTTTAGTGTACCATTTACATGAAATCGGACGAAACTATATATGGGAGCTATATCTTAATCTTGACCGATTTTCACGAAACTTGGCAGACATAATTCTAGGCTCAATTCAGTACGTTATGCCAAATTTGGTGCAAATCGAAGGATATATAGGGATTTTGGTGCACTATTTACATGAAATCGGACGAAACTATATGTGGGAGCTATATCTAAATCTATACCGATTTTCACGAAACTTGGCAGACATCATTCTTGACCTAAATGATTAGGCTGTACCAAATTTCGTGCAAATCGAAAGATATATAGGGACCGTTTATATTAAATCGGTTAAATATATATATGGGAGCTATATCTGAATCTGAACCGATTTTTCCCAATTTCAATAGGGTTCGTCCTTGGGCCGAATAAGTGACCTATGCCAAATTTCATCCATGTGTCTATCTCGTTTCCTTTTGCCTGTTACAAACATATGCACAAAGACATAATACCCTCTACCACAGTGTGGTGAAGGGTATAAAAATCGATAAGGTCGAGCGTATATTAAATGTGTCATTCTGATTTCAAATTTTGACTGATAAAAAGCTTAGTCACGATTTTATGTGTACTTCAGCTGTTTACTATTAGACACAAATGGACCAAAGAATGTGGTATTCAGGCATATTAACATAGAAAATTTTGTATTTACATCGGAAGAAATTTCGAAATTTCTGCGAATTTAATTCAAAATTTTCAAGGTTCGATATTTTGTACCATCTCCAGAAGCAGTCCTCTTCAAAGTAGATTTTTATTGTAGCGATGGATATTTGTTCACACACCTATAATTGCTTCCACAGTAATCCCCTTTTTCAATCTTTAGAAGTGTTTTGAAGGTTTAGAACGCTGAGTGGTCTGGTAACATTTCTTTTGTTGCTCTGGGGACTTAGGTTCGAATCCTAGCCGGGATCAGGTTGGAAAATTTATTGGATGATTTTATGATCGACGTTTTTAATGAAAAGAAAGCCAGATGATGGGTGGGTTGGTTTGCACTCGGCCTTTTCTTTAAATTACAAAGCTTCGATCATAAAAATCAACTGGAAAGAGAACCAGTATGGAAAGAAGTAAAGTCGGACTGGGCCGACTATATGATACCCTTCACCACTTTAGGTATATTCTACATTTGGAAGAAGCTATGCTTTATCTATATCTGAGCCGATTTCAACCGATATTAACTTCAGTACGTTGTGTCAATCGGCCTAGCTATAGATCCTTACTTAGAATCGGACGAAAATATATATAGGTTATATATAGGGTTATAACCCTATATGTATATAGGGTTATGTAAATCTGCACCGATTTTCACGAAAACTAATTCAGTACGCTATACCAAAATTTTTAACGAATATTTTTTTCGACCCACTTCGAAGCGTGGAATTATTAAAAAAATATTATCGATATAATACGAATGTTAGCCAAATTAGTGGATCCCCATCTAGGGTTGTCAAAGAAGTGACTGTGACTCCAAGATTTTTGTTGAACTTAACTGATGAATGTCCATGTTTTGACTTTGCTACAGTATTTTACTTATTAAAGACTACTTATTAAAGATTTTTTTCAAGCACCCACGGTTTAATTAATTTTTTTTTAACAATATTTTTTAATAGATATCAAAGGTTTTTTGAGAAATATTTTTGAGCTACCTTCACGGAATCGAGGTAGACCCATCGTTCCTTTTGAGAATATGCGTAGAATCACTTTATGAGTCCATTTATGCATTTCCATCGGTCTGTCCATGTATTTTTGTGAGCAAAGTATAGGTCGCATTTATGATCCGATTTGGATAAAATTTGGCACAGGTCACTTATTTGTCCCAAGAGCGAATCCTATTGAAATTTGGAGCAACTGGGTTCAGATTTAGATATAGCTCCAAATATAGTTTCGTCTGAATATTGATATAGCTCCCATATATAGTTTCGTCCGATTTTATGTAAATGGAGCATCACACTGTCAATATTTCTTCGATTGAGGCACAATTTAGCGTAGCGTATTGAAATTACTGCAAGTTGACATCTGTGAAGTCTTTTTATACCATTCACCACACTGTGGTACAGGGTATTATGTCTTTGTGCATATGTTTGTAACAGGCAAAATAATCAAGACCCATGGTTCCTTTTGAGAATATGCATAGAATCACTTTCTGAGTCGATTTATGCATGTCCGTCCGTCCGTCCGTCTGTCCATGTTAAATTGTAAACAAAGTAAAGGTTGCATTTATGATCCGAATTTGATGAAATTTGGCACAGCTCACTTATTTGCCCCAAGGACGAACCCTATTGAAATTGGGGAAAATCGGTTCAGATTTAGATATAGCTCCCATATATATTTTCGTCCGATTTAAGGTAAATTGTGTACCTAAGTCCCTATATATCTTTCGATTTGCAACAAAATTGGCACAGCGCAGTGAATAAGGTCTAGAATTATGTCTGCCAAGTTTCGTGAAAATTGGTTCAGATTTAGATATAGCTCTCATATATATCTTCGTCCGTTTTAAGTTAAATTGTGTACCAAAGTCCCTATATATCTTTCGATTTGCACGAAATTTGGCATAGCGTACTAAATTAAGTCTAGATTGATGTGTGAAAAGTTTCATGAAAATCGGTTCAGATTTAGATATAGCTCCCATATATAGTCCACCAAAGTCTCTGAAAATCATTCGATTTGCACGAAATTTGTCATAGCGTACTGAATTAAGTCTAGAATGACGTGTGCTAAGCTTCGTGCAAATCGGTTCAGATTTAGATGTAGCTCCCATATTTTCGTCGATTTGCACGAATTTTTGTATAGGGTACTGAATTAAGTCTAGAATGATGTTGCTAGGCCGATTGACACAACGTACTGAAGTAATATAAATTAGTTTGATTGAAGTCATGCCAGATTTAGATATAGCTTCCATATATAATATATTTTTATCCGATTTTATCTAAAATTTGTCCGATTAGGACGAATAAGTGCACTACATACCGAGACAAATTTTGGATAGCGCACTGTGCTGCAGCATACTAAATGACACGGATTCTTGCTCGATTTCATACAAATTATTGACATTAAAATTTTCATAAATTTCGGAATGGCATGTGTATGGGATGTTTTAATTTAATTTAAAGGGACCACACCCATTCTCGGTTTCAAAAAAAATTAATTTTTGATTTTGTTTTATTAATTCGAACCTCCAAACAGAGTTCTTGCGAAAGGCGGGCACAATAACTCAAAAACTAATAACCAAATCGATTTCAAATTTTGGGACGTTTCATAGATATCGTATGAACTAGGATAAAGCCAATCGGTG